ACGCAACACAGGCCCAACTTCAATTGAGTGTGTGTACAGTACTGTGCTGCCCTGCTGTGCGGGTGGCGTGTTTGACTGTTTGTAACAGCAGTCTTTTGATGGTCATTTACACACTGTCCATAACAATAACCAAGTCAGGTAACAAACTGCTTCAGGCTCGGGTTGGGTCAGGTTCGGGGGCGCCCCCCCTAATATAATGGCAGGGGAAACACTGCAAACACTAGCTCCACATTAGGCCATTCGTATTTTCACGTCAGCCACCGTAGTAAGAAGCCCAACCGCAATGAGCAGTAGTGACATAATAGAAACACATGAGAAAAAAGGTGACCACTCATTAACATGTGTTGGACTAGCCACAGTAGTAGTAGTAAGGAATCTTAGCTTAGGAGTGATTTAGGAAAATTCTGAGAGCAACTTTGAGCAAGGAGGAAGAGAAACTTTTATCTTACTGAGGAGGTGTGGTTGACCCCGTTGCTAGGTATGACGCATTGTTTTGAAAAGAGGTGATTGGTTAAGCAAAAAAAAAAAAAAAAAAAAAAAAAATAGAGATGGGGGGATGCTCAGCTTTAATCAATTTCTGTAATTGCTGTCCAATCTATTTAAGTATCAGGTTTGACGTAAACCTACCATAAACCAGTGACCAAACGACAATGGAAGCAAACAAATGAACCCAAAAACCCAACTGGACAGAGGAGCAATGTCTTCTGTTAGCTCAATTAGTTGACAAGTGGAAAACGATTATAAAAAGGAAATTTGGCCCCAGTGTCAAGCCGCACACCAAGAGGTAGGCATGGGAGGACAGTGCAACAGATAAATGCCGCATTCCCTCTAGCTGTGCTCTCCAGTGAGGAGTGTGAAAAAAGGTGGTATGTGTTGCAGTCCAAAGCAAGAGTTTACAGTACACAAACAGGAATTCTCACTCACAGGTGAGTGCTATACATCTTACAACTCCTGGCAAAGTTTAGTTACATACAGCAATATATGACCATATTCTGGATTGTTTACAGGGGCGGGCCACCCGCTAAACAATTGTCTCAAGTGGCAGAGACGGTGTTTAATGTCCTTGGGCAGTCTGAAATCAGCATTACTGGGCTAAAGGAAGGCACGGACAGTTCAATGATTCAGCTGATGGAAATGCGGCAAAGGTAGAACAACTTGTTTTGTATGTACCAATAGGCAGGTAAACAGAAGGTCATACACATTTTGTTTAAGGTATAGGTCATGACGCATAAACATTTCATATTTTTTATGACATTAATAAAAAACAAAAATTAAACCGTCATGAATTAACAAAGTGTTTGCCCCCTTTCTGCAGTGTGGAGCGATCTGAGGAACCGCGGCCTTCAACTTCACAGGTGTGCAACCCTCAGCCTGCTCAAAGCCTGTCTGCTGCTGCTGCCTCAACACCATCCCTGCATTCACGTGTCTTTATTACAACGTGCTTTATAATGTATGCCTACTAACATTACGATTTCTTGGTTCAATACAGCTACCAGTTTTTATATAACATCGACTGTATCTTACAAATGTGTAAAGTGGGCTCTGTAAGGAAGCCCACTCTGGGGCAAGTTCCTTCCCTGTGGAGGGTTTTAGCTCTTCATCCTCATCTTCATCATGGTCTTCACCATGACAGCCCTCGTGAGGTTCTGGGATTTGTCTGGCTTTGCAGATATTATGAAGCATTGCACAGGCTGTTATGACCTTGCAAACATTCTGGCGACAGCCGCACCTCTCCCTGTAAAACATGGAAACACCTTTTCAGTTGTCCAATACCCTGTTCAACCGGAGTCCTCAGTGCGTGTTTTCTTGTGGGTCCTAACAGTTGATGCAAATAAATTGGCAGAATTTAATTTAAAGCAACTTAAAATAATACAGATAATGTTCAATACATGACAGTGTAACATTTAAACTACCATGATACGCCACATGTGTTTACTCCTTATATGTTGTTTTCACATATTCTCATTAAATACCATTGTTCAGTTACCTGTTGTAATTTAGCTGCGGTTCCGGGTCAGGACGGAGGAGCCATGGCCTGCATGGATAGCCACTGGGACCAATGTCCCTCGAACAGCTGTCTCAGGCCACTCTCAGACAGTATTCTGGCATCATGTGTGAATATTGCCATTTTGCGACAATGTCCAAAATCTTGTTGTCCGCACCAAAGACAATTTGGACAATGCTGTTTTACTGCTTTCTGTTTACAAAAACATCTGCGTCCCATCAATGACACCTACAAGACTGGGGAAGCCAGCAGTGTCCCTAAATGCTCTTTTGTGAGTCTGCAAGGTGTCACAATATGTAATATGTAATTGTTTGTGTGATCACTCTGCTTATGGAAGGCTGGGACAGACACAAGTCATCACTGCTGCACTGTTGATCCAGTTGTCTCTGCGCCAGTGATAAATACACTTTAAGTTTAGCAAGTAAAAGTTATTTACACAACAAATTAATCGACAGAGAAGATCCTCCTCTGTGACAATGTGCTTGAGCAGCCCTCCTTTTCTTTCCTTTCCAGAATTTATTCTCTCTCACAGTAATGCATCTGTGTCACAGATGTAAATCTGGGCAGGAGAGGAAACAGGACTTAAATGCAGACAGTTAAGACAGGCAAGGACAGTTTAATAATTTAATTTAAAAGAAGAGTGAAGGTAGCAATACCAAACACAAATGACCAAGAACCCACCTAAAAGTGAGGCAGAGAAAAGTGCAGTTAGGTATAGATTCAAGGCTACAGGGTACCAGGATTTGAATGCAAGGCACAAGAAACACCACAGCTATGATTACCTACAATCTGAGTCAGGAAAGGAGCCTGTGTATATACTGCAAGGCTGATGAGGAAAGTGGGAACAGCTGTGGAAGTGGGAGGGGAAGTCAGGCCACTGGCAAGAAAGTCTGAGGCCATCTAGTGGATGGTTTGAGAATGGCAGGTCCAGGGAGTGAGAGGGGAGCACATGGCCTAAGAAAGGTTAGCAGGGGCTGGAGACAAAGGGTGTTTCTCAAAGTCAAGGATCGTCCTCCCAAGGAAGGATCCTGCAGAGGCAAGGCAAAATGCTGCATTCCCGAGTATTGGGAGGTGGGATATATCCCACCTGGAGTTAACTAGATCCCACCTCAAAGCATTCCAGATGATCGATGTTGAACGTAAACAACAAACATGGAGGACCGCAGACCTAATTACCTTACATAGCAATATCCAGGTACAACTAGATATCGCTATTTAAAGTAATTGGGCATTTACATTTCACTGCATATCGTCATGGAAAGACACTATAGCAACATATTTTCACACCAACAGCGTACAGAGCGAGTTGTGTTAACACTACAGTGTGTAATATAACCACATACATGCAGAGAATTATAGTTTCTTGTCAATTTGTTGAAGTTTTACCTCTCACGATGTGCATCTCTGTGTGCACCACCGTTATGTTGACGTCACATTGTTGATTTGCGGTGAGGTTGGGGTAGCTCGATCTGGCCTTCCTTAGGACCTCCAGCTTCGATGGGCTTTTCAATGCACTAGTTGGAGGTCTGAAACTTCCTACCTTCCAGCACTTAGGAACGCACCAAAACTTCTCCCTAGCATTCAGTGGACACACATTGGAATCAATCAGTCAATCAATCAATCAGTCAGTCTTTATTTATAGAGCACTTTTCATACAATAAAATGTAGCACAAAGTGCTTTACATGTTAGTGCTTAACCCCCCCCCCCCCCCCCCCCCCCCCCGTATCATCTTGTCGTCATCATGTGAATAGTGGGGGGAGGAGGGGAGGGGGACACTTAGCTCCATCTCTGCTGTGAATGATTCAAACTTTTATGTTTTATCTAAATCACATTGTTTCAAAAAATCTCATTATGTGGCAGTGGACTCACTGGAAAGCGTAAATTATGAGGTTTCTGTCAATATTTTTTCCACGCTTGTATGATAAAAACTTGTGGAGATATTAATCCAAATAAATTACATAATTTATCTAAATCCTGCCAAGACTTTGAGAAACACCCTCAGTCCTCAGTGAATTTCGGAAGGATACTTGACATTGGAACAGTGCTTGGGGTTGATAACATAACATCCTTGAAATTCGAAATTTGGCCGTTTTAGGATCCTTCTTTTGAGAAACACACAGGTACACAGACACAGGCCAGGGAAAATGAACAACTGGAAAGTTTATATGACATTTTGTGGCATAAAGTTACAGAAATCATGAGCTTAGAGTGACAATAAGTCGATAACAAGTTTGGCTACTTTAATAAAATCTAAGGTTTTTAATTTTTTGTCTTTGTCCCTGTTCCTTGGATGATTACAAAGTCAAGGGTCAAGTCGAGTGGAATACTGAGACGAAGAGATTTCATTTTCATTATTCCACTTCCTGCCCACTGTTTCCTTTGCAGGTGTTGGATGTTCCGTCTCTTGTGGTCATGACCTTAATGTCACGGACCTTCAGGTGCTTTCCATTTATTCATAAAAGGACTCTTCATTTCCGCTTTCATTTACACTCCCAGCACATAATAAGAGTTTACTTTCTCTTTCAGCTCACCTAGATTTCATGAGGTCAAATTGACATTTTTTTCTCGAAATAATTAATTTTTGAGAAAAAAATTATCAACTCATTTATCAACTGGGGGCAACTGCCAGAGGCCCTCAGCAAATATTTTTTTGCTGTCTCAAGTGTTAAGGTTTTTGATTCATGTTCTGTTGATGCATTTGCTGTTTTGCCAACTGGAAACTCAGTTTTGGTATGTGTGTAACTTTTTGCCAAAACGGTGCCTTTTGTTTCTGAAAAACTATTCTACCCAGTGAAATCTCTGCCCTGCAGTGTGAAGGCACTGTCCTGTCAACAACAGAGTAATGTGCCAAACAGAAGTAACATGAAGCAGGAGGACTAACAAAACAGGTACTCTGAAGCACACACACACCCAAAGTTCAGTGAAAGGAGGTGGAGCAGTACTGGAAAGAGAGTGGGAGTGTTCAGTAACTCATTTCCTTGTTTATGACTCAAAGTAGCTGAGAGCAACAGTGAGCTGCCGACATGGCTCTCTGTGTTTGAGGATTATTTACAACTTCACAAAGATCATCAGGTTTTTTCCTCTAACATCACTTTAACTTATACAGGTAAGCCTATTGTATTTACGCAGTTTAAACAATTAGCACACATATGAGCTGTACTGACAATAATATAGTATATACTGTATATATATAACATTTACATTAAGTGTTCTGTAAAAAGATGTTTTACCTTTTAAAGTATACCAATAATCCAATGTATATGTTCTATAGATTATATAAGGATTGTGTAATGTGTAGAAGTGCAGTAATTTTACTTTCACTTTTCTTATTTGTAATTTTACTTTCACTTTTCTTCTTAGTGTATGACCATGTCAGCTGCAAGCTGTGTGCTGTCTGAAGAGCAGTTTTTGTGCTGCATCTGTCTGGATGTTTTCACTAATCCAGTCACTATACCATGTGGACACAACTTCTGCAAAAACTGCATCACACAGCACTGGAATGTCAACAGTTCTCAGTGCCAGTGTCCCATGTGTAAAAAACATTTTAAAACCCGCCCTGAGCTGCCTGTCAACACTTTCATATCTGAGATGGCTGCTGAGTTTAGACAGTCAGCTGGAAAGAAAAGCAGCAGGGACTCAGAGGTACAAGTCGCCAAACCGGGAGAAATCCCCTGTGACATCTGCACTGGAACTAAACTAAAGGCTGTGAAGACGTGCTTGACGTGTTTCGCCTCCTACTGCGGTGTTCACCTGGATCCTCATATGACAGCTGACCCCCTGAAAAGACATTCGCTGACTGATCCGGTGGAGAACATGGAGGCAAGGGTGTGTACAAAGCACAAAAAAACACTGGAGCTGTTCTGTAAGACTGACCAGATGTGTGTGTGCTCGCACTGCACTGTTACAGAGCACATGGCTCACAACATTGCTTCTCTGAAAGATGAATATGAAGCAAAGAAGGCAGAGCTGGAGCAGGCAGAGGCTGAAATCCAGCAGATGATCCAGGAGAGAAAGCTTAAGATCCAGAAAATTGAACGCTTAAGAATGCACAGTAAGGAAGATGCAGAGAGAGAGATAGCAGACGGTGTTCGTATCTTCACCATTCTGATGCAGACTGCAGAAAGAGACCTGAACGAGCTTATTGAGAAAATTGAAGAGAGGCAGAAGACGACAGAGGAACAGGCTGACGGCTTCATCAGAGAACTGGAACAAGAAATCTCTGCACTGATGAAGAAAACTGCTGACATGCAACAGCTCTCACGTACACAAGACCATCTTCACCTTCTCCAGAGCTTTGCGTCCATGAACACTGCTCTGTGCACCAAGAACTGGGCAGAGGTCAACTTTCATCAGCCATCATATGAGGGAATTGTGGTGAAAGCTGTGACTGAGCTGGAGGAGACATTCAGCAGAGAGAAGCAGCAGCTACTTCATCAGGCCAGGCTGAAGAGGGTCCAGCATTACGCTGTGGATGTAATTCTTGAACATCACACAGCGAATCCCTGGCTCGTCCTGTCTGATGATGGGAAACAAGTCAAGTGTGGTGAGATGAGGATGAACCTGCCAGATAACACAGAAAGATTTTCTCTTTATACCAATGTCTTGGCACAGCAGAGTTTCTCCTCTGGAAGATTTTACTATGAGGTTAAGGTATCAGGGAAGACTGACTGGACTCTGGGAGTGGTCAAAGGGTCAGTTGACAGAAAGGGAATAATTCCACTAAGCCCTGTGAATGGCTACTGGGCTGTGGGTTTGAGGAATGGAAACGAGTACCTAACTTTTGCCAGCCCTGTTGTCAGCCTCAGTCTGAACTTGAAGCCTCAGAAGGTGGGGGTGTTTGTGAGTTATGAGGAGGGTGTGGTCTCCTTTTATGATGTAGACGCTGCAGTTCATCTTTACAGCTTCACTAACTGCTGCTTCACTGAGAAGCTTTTTCCCCTCTTCAGTCCTGGTCTTCATCATGGTGGCATGAACTCCACCCCTCTGATAATTTCACCTGTCGACCACACTGATTAGATTTGATCGTTAATTTTGGAAAAAGGGGGATTCTTATGATTTAAGAAGAGGAAGTCAGTGGATCAAAGTGGTATTACTATAAAGCGATACTTTATCAAATTTCATCCAGCTTTGTATCGTAACAATGTGGGTTATATGTGTAAATGAACTATGTTAAACTTCTCCCTGCAAATTTGTTAGGGAAAATTAGCCACGTCTCTCCCTCTCAATTACTTCCTTAAACTGTACTACATATTTCTTACCTAAGATGTTTTCAGAAACATACTTTAGTGTGCTGTTTAGCTGTAATACAAAAATTTGCGAACAGGAAGTGGACTTCATACCATTTCCTGTACCTTGGAAACAGAACCTGGAAATACTGAGATCAAACTGTAAAATAAGGCAGTGCTGTTTAGCTTGTTTCTTGCCTGAAATGTTTTCAGAAACACATTTTAGTGCACTGTTTAGCTGTAATACAGTAATTTGTCAACAGGAAGGTGGCGCCATACTGTGTCCTGTATTGTAAAGGGAGGCTGAAAAAAAAGAGTTTAAACAGTTAACTAAACTGTGCTGATCAAATATAAACCAATATTCGGTTACTGTTTTGATTATTTGTTGCCTCAAAGGTTTTCAGAAACATATTTTTTGTGCACTATTAAGCTGCGGTAGGAGAGTTGGTGAACAGGTAATGGGTGCTATACCATTTCTAGAGCTTAGATTCTCTGCCAGAGCCCGAGCCCGGCCCGACCCGGCCCGCGGGCCCAGGCCGGGTCGGGCCGGGAGCCCCCTCCCTCTGACGGATATGATATGACGTTTTTTTTTTTTTTTAAAGCTATGATTTGATAATGTTATAGGCTATGTATTGTAGCGACCCTGCAGTAAATGTTCTGTTATAATGTCAATGTTCTGTGAGTTAATGGCATGTTTGTGATTGAATGAGGTACGGGGTGCGAGTGTGACGGGGATGAGGAGGGCTGTGTGAGTGCGCGTGCTGGTGTGTGTATGAGCGTGCTGGAGGAGAGAGCAGGAGTGCACAGATGGAGTTACAGCTAAGTTGTTGTTTGTTGGTTGTTTTGGCGTGGTTATGGCCAACAGTAACCTGTACTGTTCAGTAATAAACGGTGGTTTAATTGCCGAATAACCGCGTCATCCTTTCCACACGTCCTGGCGGACGCTACAGTATTATAAAAAAATAAAATGAAACCACACTTTGTATGACACACAAAGTTACAACAAACTTAGTTACAATGTTGCAACATTGTGCGTGCACAGCTCTTCACCACCTGGATCCTAAAATAAACACCTGTTTTATTACATAATCATGCTTCCATGTTGCGCCATTCATTAAGATACTATATTCTATATAAGATCCTATCGTTCAAATAACAAGACTTGTGGTTTAATACTCTTAATTATAACAGCCAACTTATTGAAAAATGTCGGGCTTGGGCCCATAATTACAGTTAATTGGACGGGCCGGGCCGGTCCCGGACATAACGTGCACGGGCTCGGGCCGGGTCAGGCTAGATTTTTTGGGCCCGATCTAAGCTCTAACCATTTCCTGTACCGTGAAAAGGAAGGCTGAAAATTCTGAGATCGTAACTGTAAAATGAAGCAGTGCTGTTTTGCGTATTTCTTGCCTTAAGTATTTTCAGAAACATATTTTAGCTTACTGTTTAAATGTAATACAAGATCATTTATTACCAGCCAGCAGCCATACTGTTTTTGGATTGGCGACTCACATTACATCACCAACCTGCAGGAGCGTTCATTGGTCTGGTGTGGCACAGTGCATTCTGGTAGTTTTAGGTTTTCTACCCTTTGAGCAAAAGCAAATGCCACAGCCCTTTTCTCTGTTTTCTCTGGTCATATAGTACTAATCTAAGGTGTATGAGTCTTTTTTCTGCTTAGACAGCCCAGTTTTATGAAAAGACCATCTTTCCAGCAGTGAAATAACTTTGTTGTCAGCAGAGACAGGCAGACAAACAACAAGCAAACACAACCTTAATTAACTATCAGCTCTTTTTTAGGTATGAACTATACTCACTTGTTCAACAGACTACCAGGGTCATGTTTTTGTCTAATATTCACTTTGAGTTGGTCTGTTATTTATTTTTTAGGATAGCAGGAAAGGGCCCATATAAATGTGTTGCCCTAGATTTATATTTTCTTTAATTCTCTGCTGTCTCTGTGTGAGAGAGTTCTTGTCCTTATTACTATCAACTATTAGTAATAAGGACCAGAATAGGTGTAGATCTCAGATATTGGTTATTGGTGATTGAATGTAGTGGGTAGTTCATTGTAGTGGGTATACTGTGATGACCCCCCCCCCCCCCCCCCCCCCCCCCCCCCCCCCCCCCCCCCCCCCCCCAACCTTGCACACACCTGTCCCGAAGCCCACACCGAAAAGCACAACCTCGCCCACTAACACATACAGTACATGCATTTACACATACAGTAGGGGCATTCCAAAAGACTGGGTGTGTGCTATTAGAACAATCTATTGTAAGCAACAAAAGACTTTAATAGCAGGGGAGATTTAAATGCTTTGTACTGTTTTCATAGTCCTTTACCACTTTATACTGTTTTGTTATGTTCACATTATTTGTTTTTTTTTTTATCTGACCTGTTGCATATCTTTTTTGTTTTCAGGGAAATCTGCTCTATAGGAGTATGAGTGGATAATGTATTGAGTTATGATTGAGTTATTTCTAAAATACTGCTCATGTAGTATGTATAAACAATATGACCATGTGTCTCATATGCTAGGATAGATGACGTTTCTGTGATGACAGTCATATCAGCTGTGTTTTGAGGCTGAGATACTGTAAATCATATAAAGGTAAGCAAAAACTGGTGTATTTAATTCTGACTACAATAATGCTCTCAATAGAAAAAATAAAACGGTACACAAAAGTTGCTCAAATGTTCATTGGTGTGTCAGGTCAGGTCATGTTTTTACTTGAAGCCCTTCCTATGCTGAGTCACTGTGTACCACATTTTATAAGGCTCTACTCAGCAGCTGAGAAGCAAGACATGGGAAGTTTACTTGGTTTTGAGGAACCAACAAGCTCAATGTGTCCTCATACAACAGTTCATATGGTATTTAAACAATTAGCGCCCCACGAATGACGTTACATACTTAATGTGAAGTTAATGTGGTCAGGTTTAGGAAAAGGCAAAGCGAGGCAAGTATATTTACATAGCACATTTCAGCAAAAAGCAATTCAGAGTGCTTTACATAAAACATTAAAAGCATCAAGACAGGGTGCAAAAGAAAAACTAAATCAGACATTTACAAATAGTTAATTCCATAAAAGGTTAAAATATACCAAGACAGGTACAAAATACAAAAATAAAATCAATTGAAATACTTGACAGTGCAATGTAAGAAATGAACAAATTTGATTTAATAAAAGGCAGTGGCAAACAGATAAATCTTCAACTTAAATGTAAAAGAAGTGAGAGTTTTTTCCAGATATGTGATGCATAAAAACTAAACGCTGCTTCTCCATGTTTACTCTTGACTCTGGGGACACAAAGCAGTCCTGTCCTAGAAGACTTGAGACATCTGGATGGTTCATTCTGTAGCACAAGGTTAGAAATGTATTCAGTGCTTTGTAAATCAACAGTAGTTTTTTGAAATCAGTTCTGACGGACAGAACGCCAGTGTAAAGACCTCAGAAATGGAAAGATGTGATCTACTTTCTGGGTCTTTGTGAGGACTCAAGCAGCAGTGTTCTGAATCAGTTGCAGCTGCCTGGTGGATATTTTAGGAGACCTGTGTGACGGCTCCTTGGCCTCTGACCTACTTTGTTTGGTTGCCTGGGATCTGGGGAATGGCTCATTAGGAGAGATGGCTGACACCTGATTTGGTGTGAATGCTCACCTATTTATATTGGGGCCTGAGTATTCACTCTCTCTCTCTCTCTCCTCTTTGAGTTGCTAGGTTTGTTTGATCTTGGCTTATTTAGTTTTTTGTTATCTTACATCTAAACACATTCACACACTCACATTTCAGACATTACTGATAACTGACATACACATTTAAGTTTAGTTTATTTAAATAAATTTGTTTTTTCTACTTTAAAGTCATGTGTGGTCTCCATATTTTGTCATACCTTTGAGCCAGGTCGTGACACCTGTAAAGACACCATTACAGTAGTCAAGTCTACTGAAGATGAATGCATGGACACGTTTTTCCAGGTCCTGCTGAGACAGCAGTCCTTTTATCCTTGATATGTTCTTAAGGTGATTGTGGGCTGACTTTGTAATTGTCTTAATATGGCTGTTGGAAGTTCAGGTCTGAGTCCATGACTACACCAAGATATCTGGCTTGGTCTGTGTTTTTTAATATTGCTAAGTGAAGCTGAGCACTGACAAAGCACATGAACAAGTTCAATAGGTTATGTTTAGGAAAAGAAACATGGTGAGGAACAGGGTTCCCACAAATTTTCATGGACAAAATTTCAACGCATTGATTTTTTAAGGACCCATAGTAAGATTTGCATGACCATTCAAAATATATAAGTATAATGTACATTACACCAAATGTTATTGTTATACATATTGTCATAGTCTGCAGACATGGAGGAGAAGAGCTCTCAGAATGGGGAAATGACAGAAGCCAGAAGTGCTGTTGGTCCATTGGTTCATTTGTTTGAAAAAAAAAAAAGAGGTGACAACTGAACGTCTTTGGCTGCCCACTTCAAGAGCTCAATCTCAAAAATGCTTCAAAAAGTTTTAGTGGAGCATCAGTATGTAAACTTGGATTCATGACCCTAAGTGTTAAATCACACTGTCACACCATTATTTTTCTTGCCCCACTTGCCCAGCAAAGAAATGTATGTGATGGTAAACAGAACATAATGCATCGACACATATTAGAGGTGCGTTACATCAACAGCTACAGAAAATAAGTTTGTTATCTAACATTACGTGGAGGGTTATCCACAAACAATTAGTATAACAATATCATTACAACGATGACATTCTATGACTTTTTTTCAAGGATTTCTCTAATTTGATGACTTTTCCAGGTCTGGAAAATAAGATTGTGGAATTTCATGACTTTTGCGGGTTTTACATGACCATGGGAACCCTGGACGTACCTTAAAATAACTGAAAGTTCACTTGGTTTCATTTGGTGCCAAACACCTGTCTCCAGGGGGAAAGTCCTGTATTATTTGACCCATCACCCATTCCAACCTGCCTCCTGACACAGACTTTTCTGTGGTTATACTACTTCCCTCTTTACGCCCATCAGTGCATTGGTTACATGACCAAAGCCTTTCTGAATATGTGGGTTATACACAATTTACTGGTTAATGATTATGTGGGTTATATGCGAATAGTGGTACAATAGTTCATAGGTACATGAATGAACAGTGCACGAGAACAGTCTTACAATCTTCACAGTACCACACACACCACCACTGAGCTCAGTGGGGTGGGGTTGAAGTAAGATGACAAGTCTCTGAATGTTCTGCAGCTTTTGTTCAGTTTGCTGTCACATTACTTGACCCTATTTTGCAAAAACAAATAGCTGAAATGAAAGTTATGTCACAAAATTATATTGGTACATATCAATGTGTATTTTTAATTGAGTATACAGAAATCCTGAAGCTGTGGATACACAGTGTAAACCTGCGTATCACGTAGACAGCACTATCGATTGAATGTTGTCTCTGTAGTGAAAGCATCAGTTTTCTGGAGCTTAGAGCATGATGATTTTATTCAGAAAGCAGGACTGCTGTTGAGTTATGTGTGTCATATTAAGTTAGCCTATAATGCAACGTTTTTTGGGAGATATTGAATTGATGATGTGTCTAATTCAGACCTTGAAGGCCTCATATTAGCTTTAGATTAACTCTGGAATGTATTTTCACACAGAATAAGGACTGTTAACTTTGTCCCC